CATATATATATATACATATATAAAATAGTATATATATATATAGATTATATATATATATATTATTTGACGAAATTAAATGTAGACACAAGGATACACCTTCAAGCGCATTTTCAACGTCATTTCTACTTGCTTTAGTCATTCTGCTTATGATATATATGATCAAACAAAGTAGTAACAAGCACCACACATTACAATACGTGCTTTGTACTGTTGCCACAATACTTGAACCGCCTGAAAGATCACGTTTAACTTAATATGTCCAAATCCCATGTCCCAGGTACTACACGCAGTCTTAAGCGTTTCACTTGTTTTATTACTTTCTATCCTCACAACGGGATCACGCCTTGACCTCCTTCAGCTCCGTAACCTTATACGTAGTGGCAGCACCTGTCGCACTCTCGTCCTCCGGTTTAGTAGCCAGATAACCCCGATTGTCGTAATTTCGGTACCATTTCAGTGTTTTGCTGACCACGGGTAGAGGCGCTTTGGGTACGCCGTTGGGGAACTTGTGAGGTTTTATGAGCGCTCGCAGCGACGCTGTATTGAAATACTTTGCTGTGACCTTTCCACCACTCGCCTCGATGTCTCGGATGGCCGTCCTGGATGCTCTGTAAGGGTGGAACAGGACAGTCCAAGGATACGAGATTAGGTGCTTGTAACTACTAACGTGCAGGAGATGGTATTCGGGTACAGAAAGCAGCCAGTCCCATGAAATATTTATGACGTACTTGTATATACTAAAGTAGGAATCTCACGCACGTATAAATATATAAATAAATATATATATATATATTCACATATATATATATCTATATATACGCATATATATAGATATATTCATATATACTCGTATAAAACTAAAAACTCCAGTCATTTTTTTGTTATTAAAATTCAAACACTGTGTACATTGTGCGTGACAGGGTGGTGTGGCAACAAAATACATTCGCTCACACGATAGTAGTATCGCAATTCCATTTGTACTACTGTAATGAAGAGTTGTATACAGTCAGTTATAACATCCACATCCATAGATCAGAACTCACATCTCCGGACGATAAGAATACCACTGGCTGTATAGGTGATCCGTAAACGCACAAGCACATCCATCGGCTTTGTGATCAAAAATCAGGTGCTTGTCGATGAGCCGAGTCAGACATCAATCGAAAGTTTAATACTCCCATTTGCCATCTAAAATACGTATATCCATCAGAACACCCACGATGAATCAATATACGAGTCTAGTAGATATACATGCATCCTACTGGCACACATTCATACACGCAGTGAACTATGAAAGAACTCCCACATTTTCTAACTTAAAATGAACCCCATATCTCTATTGACTAATTGAACCCTCTCGCCCAGAAACCCATATCCACACATATATTGTACACGTACACACAGCCCTGCAGACACGAGCATGTACACATATCCCTCCGGCCTACTTACTGTGAAACCTCTATCTCAATGGGTGTGTTGAACTTCAACTCGCCTTCCTTCTCACCCAGAATCTTAACACCGCCCTTGAGCGACCTGCTGGCCAGTCCACAGTCACGTAGAGTCTTCATTGTGATGACCCCACTCGTATCTAAGCGCCCCTGATCAATCCATGTTTGGAGCTGGACATGGTAGGTGGAGGAAATGAAAAGAAAAAGCCAAGTATAGGCAACTGAATAAGTAGGTACTTTGAAACAAGTAGATATATTGGCGTGTTAATTGGGTAATGAGTATGTACATTGGCATATTTAAAGAGCAATATCTTCATCGTGATGACCCCCCCCCCTTCGTACCCATGTTTGTAGGAGCTATTTTGATGGAGAACAGATTGCGTTTACTATGAGTACACACTACTCAGTGGTCCAGCGTCGGCATTGCGACAACCCCACTCGTGACTAAGCACCCCTGATCGATATCTGACTGGAACTATCACAACAACAACTGCAGTTCGGAACGTTTGCGTTTGCGTTATATAGATAACAATACATATTGCTCGCCAGGCACCGGTACGCGAACGGCGTAGACTAACTACCGTACGAAAGCCCACGGCGCCTTCATTGCGACCAGCCCACTCAGGCTTGAAAACCACTGAGTCATACCACTCCACAACGGCCAATGGATAGTATACAGTGTGTGCAGTGGGGGTGTAGCCATATGCACAGGTGCTATTCGTGAACAACTTAGGCCCCTGATCGATCCCTGATTGGCACTACGGAGATGCTACCAAACGTTGCGAAGTACAAGCTACAAATGCACAACCGTATATACTCAACGCCTAAGTAAACGGTACCCCATTCCCGTACGCATACGCGCTACACTACACACCTTATTCAAGTTAACAGTCTCGTACTCCTTGCGCTTGAAGGTGGTCATGCCCCATTTGGGGATGGTTTTGTGCAGCGGCTTCTGACCTCCCTCGAAATGGGGGCCTTTCCCTGTACCGTATTTGCCCTGACCCTTGTGACCCCTACCGGACGTTTTGGCTTTACCACCACCCGAACCTCGGCCCAATCGTTTGGCTTTATACGTGTATTGAGATATGATATAAAGTCAACTGATAGTGCATAGGGCAGAGATTGGTGGTAATAAACAGGAAAAGTACAGAACATATAAAACACGAAGATAAGATACACAGCCTTTGGAATTCAAAGCCAGCATTAGTATTCCTGAAAAATATATACTGAGATTTCATTTCCAATAGATGTACGAATACATACATATATGCATATATATATATGTATATATATATATATATATATATATATATATATATANATATA